CTGGCCAGGACTCAACGTTGAAGAGCAAACAATTGGAAAACTTACAAGGAGGGTGAATACTTTTTATAGCTACTGTACATCTGAAATTTGAACCTCAGCTACTGCACTATAATGCTGAGACACTACATGAATGCCTAAGCATAATTTGTATTTAAAAGGGTAATTTCAGTTTTTTTTTTCCAGAGCATCGGTGGGAATCTCCTCAGTGCCAATCCCAAATACGACCTGAGCACTGTTTTAGCCGCTCTGGACTGCACTCTGCATGTCATTTCCAAAGGTAATCTGCATTATGGCTGCATTTTTTTCACTGCATCCTCTTTTAAATTCACACCTGAGATATTATCAGCGTGAGATAGGTTGTGGGCAGTTGTTTACATATTATCACACTGAACGAACACAGTTTTGAGACGGTATGAATATCTTCGCGTCTTGCTGGAATAGAAAGTTAAATCTACATTCTACACTGACACAAAAGAAAGGATTATTTGTAGAGAAACAGAACTGATTCCCATTTGCTCAGTAAGAATGATTGTCTGTCCTGCATAAAACCGTGCTCTTCAACCCTTAGATTCAATTTATCAATTCACATTTCTTCAGTATTCACTGTCTTCAGACGCTTCATAAACCACTAAATGTTGATACGTGTCTGTCTTCAGATAAGATGAGGAGTCTTCCCTTGGATGAAAAACTCTTTCCCGACTTCGGAAAAACGACACTCAGGCCTGATGAAGTCCTGCTGGCCGTCGACATCCCCTACACCAACTCGGTGAGAAACGCTGCTTTGATATTTAGAGTCGACTGAGACATTAGTTTGTCTTCTGAGATAGCCACATGAAGCACTGCAAGGGCAGAAAATATCCAACAGGGAAAAATGAGTACATTAAGTTCCTCGTGTCTGCTCTGCCTAAAGCTCCAACTGAATCAAAGAACGATTTCACGGTGACCTGAGAAAACGACAGCAGCTGGTTTTGCAAGTTTTTTAAAAGAAAACAAGCACATTTATAT